TGGTGTTGGGACATTTTTTGTAATGACCTTTATTTACAGTATATATTTTTAAAAGTTTACGGATGAACAACTTTAAAGTAAAATTCCATAAATGTTCTCAGAATAAATTATCTAAACCGAGTGTGTCGAAAAAAAAAAAGTTGTATAGAATTCGGTGCTTTTTTAAAAGAACCGTAGATATAATTACATGCTATTAGAGGCACAGAATATCATTACTGTTAATGAAATTACATTAGATCCTTTGTAAATAAAACATAAAATGTATAATAATAAAGCCTTCAGAAGTAAGAACTGTCTTCTTTTTTTGCTTATCTTTAAATCAACGCACAGATGAAAATTATAAGACTAATTTTTATAAAGACAATGCTTGACTTTTTTTAGTTTATCTGACTTCTTAATCAAATATTAATTATACCAAATTGTTAGAATCATGCGCGTCAAAAATAATCTTTAAAGATTATTGAAAATGGCGTAAAGGAGTAAAGCGTAATTTTGCATTTTACCGTGAGTAAATATATAAAAAGGAAATACATTCTATCACAAGGAACAATAAGTTTGCTTTATTCAGTTGAATCTCCGAACTACGCTATGATTTAAAAGCACCTTCTATTATATATTTATACAGTATGAGTGCACGAGAGTAAAAATCTGTAACCAATCATAGTAAATCACTATTAAATCTATTCCAGATTTTCACTCACACACACACTCATGGAAGAAGTATATTAATTGTGTACTAAAATAGAAATGTACTTTACTGAGAAAATAGTTAAGATCTACAGTATATACATATATATACAGTAAATCTGATCTGGTGTTGTATTTATCTATGATTCCAGTTCGTATACATACCAGAGTCCTTGGATTTTTGTAGCATCTAAAATAGCGCCATTTTTTTAGCAAAATAGCTAGCAACAATTGTCTTGTGCTAAGATGCATAATTTTATACTTTTGCACTAAACATATGATTATTACCTTTGTTCTTGAACTGATTTACATAAATGAGTAAATTATATGCATATTTTAGATGATGACCGGAGAACTCATTGAAATGATAGATAAAGAACTTGCAGAAGAAAATATGATTATGTTAAACTTTATATTTAATAAATATAAATTTATAATAAGCTATTTTGCTAAATTCGCCAATTTTACTAGCTATTTTTGCTAACTATTTTTGCCATCAACGTCCGGGGTCCCTGATACATACGCATCGGTATCGTAACTCCTTATGTAAAAGTGCTTCAAAGATGTGTGATATCTAAGAATAATTCAATTGTAATAATGGTTTATTTAAAAAACTTGTGCAATAAGCAAGATCTTTGTTTGAATGAACGACTCAATATATAAAATACAATAAGCAAGATCTTTGTCTGAATGAGCGACTTAATGAGTAAAATACAACAAGCAAGATCTTTGTCTAAATGAAACTCAATATGTAACGATTTAATGACTCAACATTATCTATACAATGAGCAAAACTTTAAATTGTTCGTATTGCATGAGAGCCAATTCTAATGGCGTTTTATCATCTTATAAAACCAAATTAAGATAGTTTAACAAAGATTAGCGAACTCATTTCTAAGGTAAATACTTCTTACACTGAATAACGACTAAATTTTTATATAAAGATTTCAAATTTAAATCAGATTTTACTCATATCTATATAATAATTAAATCTGAATTATTATTAAAGATAAGTGCGATGGGTGAAACGTTTATAGACTTATATGTATCCTGCCCGGCAGCCAGTTGTTCAAATACACAAATAACTTATTGGGTTCATTCAACCGATTCAGGAAAGATGGAAATATCTAACCGTGCTCGTTTACGATGTGGAAGGTGTTATACTACTGAACATATGAAGAACTGGTTATTCGCTTGTTCTGATCATAGAGGAGTTTATAAAGAAACAAGTTATGATTCATTCACAAAAGCTTTAAATCTTGCTTTCAAGAATCAAGGTAACAAACAAGTAATGAGGGAATTGCTCATGTACTTGTACGATAATGAGTGGTAATAATCTAAAAGGTAAATAATTAATATACCTTTTTTTTTTTTATAATAATATACATACAATAATAGCTTTTTTTCAATAATAGATAATGAAGGATGTCAAATTAGCAT